ACAATTTGTTCGATGGGGGAAAGAAACTACTACGAACGCTTAAAATCCAAACGACTCCCTCCTGTCAAACTTGAGACACCATCCAACTTTACTCATACTGATAAGAACATTGAAACAAAACCTATTGTTCATTTCTGCAGGCAAATCAATTCGAGTTTTTTTACTTTAATTGCATAAAGTAGGAGTGGCAATCTAATGGTTACAGGATTATTTTGGATGATAATATGTAATTGTCTTTGCTGAAGAGAATGCAGATAAATATATTTGAGTCTGACTATACATCTATAAATGTATGCGTGGCGCGTCTAGGTAATCATTGATAAGCCAGTGCTGGAGAAGAGACCGTAATGATAAATCTTGGTTGGAGCCTCACACGCCTTAAGTGTGAGTTTGTTACAAAAAATAGTACTAATATGTTAAAGTAGCAGAATCCCTTAAAAGTTGTGGAGCTGCAAGGCCATCCTCGACAATGATACAGTCAATCATTTACCCGTATTTATGGAATCCAAGTTCCAATCCTCTTTATACATACGATTTACCCGGAATAGTATTTCATACGTCATTCACTGAATAATACAAGGTCATCGGCACCAAGAGGTGCGAAGAAGTCATCAAACAATGTGAAAAGGTATTGCAATACGAGGCATATAACTACAGTACAGTAGTATTGCCAGCATTAATAAACAATGACCTATTAACCAGCAACATTGTGGAGGGTAGATCCATGTTCTCGAGTGGCTCAATTAACCTTAACCGGCCAGGTGCTTGTGAGAGCAATCGTCGCGTGGTGGTTAGGTTTACGTTTTCACTCGCAGATGTATAATGTGTCACATAATTCTACTTTTTTGACTAGGGTCTCTACGAAAAGCGAAAGAATTGGGATGCTCTTAATGCCATTTTAAAGAAGTTGCTGTGAGGCAGGATGAACGCGATATGATGACTGGATTGCTTTTTTTTTTCTCTTAGCGTATTCAGAGATATAATAACCGTTTCATCTCAGTAAGGGTGCCAAACGTATTATAGTTGCGAGACAAAAGAACAAAAGACTGTAGAGAGAGATGTAGAAAATGCGGATGCTCTTAAGTAAGTGCAAATCGTGGCTCATTTGGTTTGGAAAATGAATTTTATAAACCAATATATTTTATTCAAGTGATTATGATTGAAAAGGTGTGTCAAAGGTTCCGAAAACTGTATTTTTGTGTTGGATTTGAGGATAGTCCGTGGATCTTTTTATCTTTGATGAAACTACTATTCATCAATCTCTAGAAGATTTGGACCAACGGGATACCGTCTTTGGTTATCATGATTCAAACGATTGTGATTCAGCTCTTGGATACGTGTGGCTGGGAGACATAATATCTAAGAATGCGAAGGTAGCCAGATTTCTTTAAAGAGACAATTGGGTGATTTGTTTGAAGTGGTATACTTTATTTATGTTACATGTTTGACATTCATTACAGTTGATTTAGAGTCTAGGTCTCGGAAAGTGCTTTACGCATAGACAAAGTACGAAGAGTCGCTATAAAAACTTGAACTAGATCCATCTAATCACGTAGAGGAACTTGTGATGAAGCACAACGTCTTTTCTCTAAGCTGGTCCTACATAACTGGACATTGCTATCGAACCATTGAAGATAACAGCACTCGGAAAAAAACCGTCTTTCCCATTGACTCGCTGATGTACCAATTAGTACATATTATGTCAGAGACGACAAGGCAATTTAGCCGAGCCTGTATACCAGAAAGAAGGCCTGGCATGCGTGAAACGTCTAGGATTTGTTGAATTGGTGAGTATAAAAAGTAATGGATTGCATGTGTTAATGCCTTCTTTTAACGGTAATACCCGTCTGTCCAGGCGAAAGGAAATTATCAGGATGCTATAAGACTTTACTGTTATTGCTGAAGCTTATCAACGCGAGGTACGATACATGGTTTCAATAAGGCTTTGTTAAAACAACGGATCTCGACCCTCACTCTTTGTTTCTGATTAGATTACAGGTTCTTTTGTCAAGGAGTATTTGCTTTGCTTATTTACCTGCCATGTATGAGCTTGAGCCAATGCAAATACTTGAATTGCTCCAATCATGTCTGAAAAGGATGAGGAAACTTGGAATAAGGTCGAGGGCGTTAAACCGAATTGCGAGAAACAGTCGTGTTGAATATAGTGTACATGTAGATCGGTAAAGCAGGAATGGTATTCATCGATCAAGAGCAGACTGACTGAGAGAAACCGACTAGTTTTATATTAATATTCATATAAAAACGGTTTCTCCTGTTACGCAACTTCCCGAACCGAAATAATTTGTTCAATAATTTCTCCTTGGTCTAATTTTAGCATAAAGATAATGATAAGACATCTATATTCATTAATTACCTTTAAAACAGGTGTTGATTTACGCAAACTCGTTCGTTTTGCAGTAGTAGATAGACTTGATGATAATGAGTTTTTGTAATTAATTTTTAATTCATCAATAAGCAGATAATGCGCTTGATCATAAAATGTACGTACTTCTATCGCGAGGGATTAAAATGTACGTAATTCAAACGCGAGGGAATATATATAACCAAAAGGGGCAATTACCAAATGTATTGAATCTAAACACGTGTCTGCTCCCACATTAGACCGACCCTTTTTCGAATCGCGAAATTTGGTCAATAAAAAATGCCTTATTAAAACCGATATATTTGAATTCACCCCGCCGCGAATCTGTAGTTTTTGTAAAATTTATTCCAAGTCAATAGCTGATAATGTTATATCCAAATTTGGTATGTATAAGCAGAATATTGACCGGGATAAACTGAGTAATGACGGAAGGCCTAATTAAAATATACGGCAATTACACTTGCTCAAAAAATCGAAATTTGTAAAGTGACCTATAAATCTAAACAGTAAAAATCCGGCAACAAGAAAAGTCATAGAAATATCTAGCCATTAACGGAAATTGTTCCGATTCTAAGGTCTAATCTGAAATCAGATCCGAACAAAGATTTTATTTTCCTGAATATGTTCTTTTATTTATAGAGTAAACCCGCCAATCCGAAACCTCAAAGAAAATTGCTGCACAAAGCGCCTTCGCATTAACGGGGGTTGACCTTGTATCTTCAAAGCAATATATTTTAGTTGGTCTATCCCAGTAACTGGATTGATATATATATTTTTTATTCGTGTATTATTTTTGAAAGAGATCGAAATTTAATTATAATAATGTGTTGAACAACAAAGGCCTCGTATTAATTCTCCCATTGCTGTTCAAGTCTAATTACGCCAATAAAATAATTGACTAAACAAAGATCCCGTGTTGTAAATAATTCTAAAAATGCTAGTTTTTGCGTAGAAAATTATACTGCGATTAGAGCACCTTAGCTCTAAATCAGAGTAATGCAAAGAAAGTGACTGAAAGACGAGAAGGGCATACCAGCAGTTGCCTTGCAACCCGTTAACTTGACAGCTTATTTTATAATCTGTACAACATCCTCATCATTTAACACATGCGTCAAGCCCACTTTTTGAGGTTGATGTTTTGCTGAACTTCCCCAAACGAGAGCACTAACAAACGGATACAAGAAATACTTAGAATACCTTGACGAAACGTATCAACGCAATATCACTAACATGATCCTTATTCTTCGATCCGACGTTCAAATACATACTACTTGAATTCCTTGACAATGGTCTTATGAATACTGTTACAGAAATCTTCAACGCTTCGATTATTCTGCCGAAGTATAACAGGTGCGCTGTAATCCGGTAATTGGCCCTTTGGCTTTGTGTAACTGTTTAATGGTATATAAATTATGAGAAACAATTGCAAATCCAAACCACCGATATCGACAAATAAGAGACTCACATTCTAGTTAGATTGAGATATTCCCACATTCTATCCAATAATTCATCAAAGTTCCATTCCTAGTTGGGTGGATAAGAAAATCGCCGCATTAGTCAATTTACTAAACGTGTGTAAGTAACAGCGCATAAGAACTCACATGATGAGCCGAAATGGGGACTGCGTGCGGAATCTTGTAAATTAAATCCAATTCTTCGATGCTAATTTGATCAATCTAGATGCAAAGTGTATGTTAGTATTGTGTTAGGGCAGTCTACATATCAGACAATATAATCACACGGCCTATCTTATTCTTATTCTCTTCCCTTTATATATAATCACGTATACATCATCTCGCATCCCCGGACACACATATTACTTCCACGTCTCACCTCCCATTGCCATTTCGCCTAATATCTCACCCTTACCTTATTAAGTACATAAATAGCCGGAATATAAATTCTCGTTTCGATAACATCGATGAGGTCATCCACTGTAGCATTACATCTAAAATTGATGTCCGCATTATGAATCCTATACTCTCCCAGGACAGCCTTCACTTGATCCAAATCCAAATTCGTCAGCGGGACAGTATTCGTCATATTGATTCCCCCTTTATCTTTTTTCTTGAACGAGATGTTTGGAGGAGATTTGTTGAGAAGGATACCAAAGCCTTCTAACTCGCGTTCGATGAGGCGTTTGTCTGTGAGAGGCTTTAATACATCCAGACAAAGAAATATCAGGGAACATGTGCGGGCCACTGCAATCACTTGTCGGCCACGACCTTTGCCGTCCTAGAGAATCAAAGGAAAAAGGAGAGAAAAATGGATGGAGTAAGGAACATTGAGTATTAAATTTTGTAATAAAACAAGAGTATCCCGCATTGAAAAAGTGCGGTATTCAAAAGTCGATAAACATGTATGTTCAGAATGTTATCAACAAACTTGGAAGCACACAATAACACGGAACACACTAATTCTTCAAATCTTGCTATAATAGTACTGTGATTTCCTCACCTGTGCACCCTCTACAAAAAAATCATCAAAGCAAAAAGAAAAGCTATTAACTATCACATTCCTTTAACGTATAACGAATATCCTCTTTCCTTTTTCCTCCTTCCATCATTTTCGAATTTACACATTCATCTCATATTCCCCGTGTAAGAAACTTAGCCGTACCTATAATCCCAGGTAAATCCAAGATCTGAATTTTCGCCCCTTTATATTGAAGCACTCCAGGAACCGTAGTCAATGTTGTAAATTCATAAGCGGCGACGGCAGAATATGTGCCTGTTAACTTTGACATCAGGGTCGATTTTCCGACTGACGGAAAACTGTGATATATGTTTTGAACTGCTGGTTAGCGAAAGAATCGAACAACTCCGCAACGTCATGAGAAAAATATTTACCCTACAAAGCCTATTCTTGCAACACCCTGCAAAAAGATCTCGTTAGTGTCTGATCAATAATGTGCAATTCTAGATTTTAATGTATCTTATTGCTGGGGCTATATACTCACCGTCTTTGCTACATCAAATCCCTCGCCACCCCCACCTCCACCCCCTGAAGGAGTCAGCAATTCTCTTCTCAATTTCGCCAGTTTAGCCTTTAGCAAGCCCAAATGACGCGCTGTTGCTTTGTTCTTCTGCGTCCTAGCCATTTCGGCTTCGACTATATGTATGAAATTACAAGGAAACGAATACGGGAGTTATTGTACGGTCTGTAAATCCATGCAGCATAAAACATGACAAAGTCTTTGCTTTAACTGAGTTTGATGCCCAACTTTCTTTGATCTTGTCGACTGTTGACATTTTGATTAGTGGCGAATGTGAATAGTATAAACGACAACCGACAAAAATTCTTTTCCTCTTTTTTTTAGGCATGGTGGGTGACACAAATGCACATCAACTTCCAAAAAAATAAACTTGCAAGGGTTAGCGTGAATAGTAGTACAAGATGAATAGTCCCAATGTTATGGCATGTTATGTGGATTGCACGGGTTTTTTCTCGTTACCACATCATTATGTGTTCCGTGATTAATACCCTTGTATTTAGTGAACGTGCTAGTTTCATATTCCTATTATATGGCATTAATCAATGTCTAGACAAATATTTCCAAAATATAATTCTTTAGAGAGAGGGTAAAGGCATAACAGGTCGGGTGGTGAATACAGGAATTCATACTCTGCGTAGTATCATACAATATTCGTTTATTCTGTCTTGATAATAGTGATTCTCTGGGCAGCATCGAACATTTTTTCCTCAACGGTAGAGAACAATAGACTAGAATTCTCATAAAAGTTATCATAATTATCCCCTGGCATAGTAAATTGGCTAACAATTACAATCGTGCTCTCTCTCAAACGGTAGAATGAGCGGAGATAATTCTCAGGTACATCAATTCAACTTCGATATTAAATCACAGTTTCATATCAAAAGTCTATAGGCGATGGAACGTGCTTCACTGTAAGCATAAACCACATGCTCCGTCGACACAACCGTATAGATTTCATCGTACCGTAGCCATATCCAAAAGCATATTTAGTAAGTTGCTAATCGTTCGCAATATTCATTAAGACTTTTATTCCGAGTCAACGTAAAAACTTGTTCTCCAGTGAAACAAATAGTGCCGTAATATCAATATAGAATAACCTTCATAATAATAAAGAATTAAATAAAAAAAATTGACGTTGATAATTCACATTGACAATGAATACGTGTGTTAATGCGTTTTTGATAAATTATTAGTCGTAGTCAAAGTCGTTGTGTTCTCAGTCGTGTCGAACTTCAGTGAATTAATTGTGGGACACTGAAATAATGACATTTATTTAATATTTCATTTGATCTCTCGCGTCTGATTAAGAACTTGTCAAACTATTACGTTTTAAACTTTTATATTTTGAACGTTCAACTCATTAACTATACCAGGCAACTAACAATTTAATAAAATTTCTAATTAATTTTATCATGAAATATTTTCCGAGTCCCCGAAGAAATGTCATACAGATAAAACCCTCTAAGTACACACCCTTTAAATGCACAGTTTGGCATGGTCCCGAGCTTGGGACTTAGTGATAAATGCAAACCCCTCTATCTTGCACGTGCAATAATTTTTTGGTCCCGTCTATATAAACTGCAAAAGTTTCGTTTTTGATACACCAGGAGTTCCGTTTTTGATAGATCGGCAAGCACCCCAAATTTTGGTTCCTTTT